AACAAGTTAAAGGGAGGGCCATGGGAGTCAGTCACACTGCCTGCCAAACCACAGCCAAGTGGCTCAATCCCAAAGTACAGTTCCACTGTACAAACGGTTGTCTCAGTTCTCTTCCTCGCATGCCCCGATAAAAAAAAAATGGGACACTGGGATCTGGTTCTTCAGCTCAATCTGTGAATGCGCCACAGCTCTCTTCCCTCGCTCTTTCTCCCTCTATTTCCTTCCCTACCCCCACAAATTCACACAGCCTGCTGCACAAGCTTTTTTCCAGGGAGAGGAGAATGTAGGTCAGCTCTCTGACGGCTGTGGAGGCACAGCTGAGCGCCCGCTCCGTTCCTCTCCACCACACACACACCCACAAATCTGATCATCCTCACAAGGGTGTGGATCATGCTTGTCCATTAAAAATATCAATGCAAAATCAATCTTCCCATTTCATCACTATAATATTGCCAAAATCATTTAGCCTATCCTCATACATTCACAATATGAAGCTTTTTGCCACATGCACAATACTAATGCAGGTGCCTCGGGTTAAAAACTAATTCCTCACTAAGCTTGTGAAAAGGAATGCTTTAAACATGACAACACTGAAAAGGCTGTCGAGAATGGTTGTGCTTACATTTTAGGCAGATCTTAAAAGTTCTGGTCTGACTTCGCTCCCCCCACATTCTCTCCCTACTTTATGAATATACTCTAATTTTAAAGGGGCAATCAGCGGTTGCTACATCTATTTTTGGACTAATAAATGAATGATATGTACCCATGGATTCTTGAAGAATATAACTTATAAATGCCTCCTGAGCTTAGTTCAACTGTCATACCCCATCAGAAACCAAAATATATGCTGGTTTTACTCCAGTGTTTGTAAACAAAGTAAATGTAAACAAACACTATATAGCCGCAAAACATGGTTAAAACTATAATTGTTATATTATGGTCAGTCCTTGCATCCATAGCTCTGTATATAAGTAGTCATATTTCTCCAGCCCCATCCCTCAGCTTGTTACCAAAACAGGGGTGGGGCCTCGCTTTGTTATTCTTTCAACCGCTGATTGCCACTTTAAGCCTACAAGTCAAAATTATGTCACAAATAGTTCAAAATAAATCTATCCTAAACCCTGACCATCTTTCCCCTCTTTTATGACACAGGAAAACACAATAACAATGTGTCAAACAGTCATATCTCCCTCTTCTGAGAAATGCTCAAATCAAGGCCATATAAATTAATCTGCTACTGTGCTGGAATGTTGCAGGTAACACAAGGTTGTGGATTCTTGCGACATTTTGTTAATTGCACAACCCACCCACCGTCCTAATGAGTGTGATACATTTCTTACTCTCCTTCAGCAAGAGGAAACAAATCCAGATGGGGGAAATAAAGAGTATTAAGATTTGATAAAGGAGTTCAAAATAGTGGTCAAATATGACCTATTTGTTCCGGACCTTGATAGCAGTGCAACAATAAATGCAAATAAAACTGCTGGTGAAGAGAGTACCTACCAACTTTGACCTGCATAGCTGAGGCCTGATTGCATTGACTTCAGTCCTTGGCTGTATTTACACAGGCAGACCATTCTGATATATTTTTTCCACTAATTGGTCTTTTGACCAATCACATCATATCTTTTCACATTAGATCTTTTTCAGAGCTGATCTAATTGGTCAAAAGACCAATTAGTGAAAAGAAAGATCAGAATTGGGCTGTCTGTATAAACGCAGCCAATGAGGCCTAGCCTATAGCCTACACACTACACTTTTTGCTAGGCCTATTCTAATTGCATTGCATTTACAACCAAACATGTGCATAAAGAAACCTGAATTGAAATATGGATTCTTAGATCCTCCACCACAAAGCTAATAAGAATTCAATAAATTACCTAAGGGATAATGAACAAGAGGCTATGCATTCTATGGAAAATAATGACTCATACTGTGGTACTCTATATAGGGAAATACTGCATGCTCTAGAATGCCATTCAAGCAAATCAGAAACGAGTATTCAACAATGCCATGGTATAAAATACTATAAATGTGTAATAAAAGACAGTCCACAACTGAGGGTAATATCACTACATGTACTTAAATTTGATTGAAGGAAATGCCTCACTGGTGGTGTGGCCAAAGCAACGTCCATAATTGCATAATAAGTCCAATCACACCATTGCAGGTGCAAACCTGTCAATGAAGTTGCCATCATCACAAATTGATTAGCTACCTTGGCCAATAAAAATAAGCCAAATTCACCTGGTGTGAATGGCTAGGTCGGGAGAATGTTTCAACTTCCCAGCATGGTCACACTTAATCCAAAAGGTACTATAATGTTTGATTAACCAAAGAGGGACACTAATGTAGCAATGAAAACAATTAATTGGATCAAAGATTGCATTATAAGTACAGATAGTTCGCCATCTTGCAAACAAGAGGCACGTGCTCTACTACTTCATAAAGAGTGATTGCCAAAAATCACACATCCACTAGTACTGGGTCAAGGATTCAACGTTGGCGGTCTTCCTTACATGCAGCAAATTTCTCAAACAAATCAAGTTGTTTGCAAGCTCTCAAATTAACGTTTTGCTATACCGGTATCAAATACATTGTTTCAATTGAATGATTTATTGGAAGGTCACCGTTAGCTGGCTAAACTGGCCCACTTCACGTTTGATCCTTCGCTACTAGCTAGTTGGCTAGTTCGCTGTCCGTGGCTAAATCTGGTTTAGTAATCTATTTTGCGGCAGTTCTGCAGGGTGTTGTGCTGACTTACCTGTTTCTCAGTCCCCGTATACGTTGATTGGTGATTATCTTCTGTATTTATTCGATTTCAATGCAATCTATTGGAGTTGTTTCAAGTTAGATGCGCAATTTCCATGCATAACGTGGCTAATTCCGATGTAAATATTTTACAGTAAAGCCCATAAATTAGCCAACCAGCCTGCCAGCTAGTTTGGGTGCCTTGGTGTTCTGTTCTGCCGCTCCATGAATCAATCTCTTCCACACGCTATGGATAATGTGTTCTGGCGCTGTAGTTTGACACAAGCCAGGGGAAACATGGTTGTAGGCTAACGTCAGCTAATTGACAAACAAGCCTACGGCGAGTAAAAATCACACTAATTGAAACTAGCGAGATTAGCAATGTTAGCTAATTCAAAGCCAGTTTCAAAATCAGTTCGCTGTCTTCAGCTATACATTACTCCGTCTCTCCTTCAAAAATAAAGTTATTCCGAAATCCAATTTGTCTTTTTGAAATTGTCATTCACGGTTTACTAATATTTGATTCTTTATGTCGCGTTGGTCTTTCCTCTCCGCCATTTTCAATATCTCGCTACACAAACAAACAAGGGTAGCTCGTGCACGCACAATGACAGCAAATAGGCTCGTTCATGAGGAGAGGCCAAAGAAGCAAGCTGTACTTGAAATGTCACCATAGAGATTTAAAACAGTTGCACCAACATCCTCTTATAGAGCCTGATGTTTTTGTTATGAATGGGTATTTTTATTTTTTACAAGCATCTGTAGCTTTAATTTGACAATGAAGGCAGTTTGCACAGTTAATACTATTTCTCAACTTACTTCGTATACATTGTTATGTAAGAAATATATTCAGGACAAGACCTATTGTTTTTAGAGGTAAACTGAACACTTGTTATTGTTTTTCACTTCGCACTCCACTCCACTAGGTGGCAGATTAGATATAAGGAGGGTGGGGAGTCTGACGTAGTTTTTCTGCGACGGCACATCTTTTTATGCATGCATCGGATTCGTGATGGCAGAACAGGATTCTGAGTACGTATTTGTTTACATGTCGATCTAAGTTCATCCTTTGCTAAATTAATAATTTTTATACATTTTCTCTGGCTTAAATGTAACATTAGCCCAATAGAATTCCGTCAAGCCATGTGTTTTTATGATTTGTCTGAAAGATACGCAATACAGAGCGCTAGATAATTTGGTTAGTTACACATGATAGTCCATCAGCCATAACTATGCAAACATAATGACATTTTACCTTTTCGACACAAACACGACACAATCTGCAAACAAATAATTGTGCAATGTGACCAGAATGGCATGTAACTAGTTACTTTTATTTTGGTTTGCCTTCAAAGGCTGGCAAGCTAACCTCATTTCACTCAATCAGATCCGTGTGTCATGTTTTTTGTCACAGCTGGATAGGGGAATAATCTTATCAATAGACCCCTTTCTGTGTTTGCAAACATTGCCGCACGAGGGCGGTGCGCCCAAATTGGTGGCAGAACAAGGGGGAGTTGTTTGAGTGCATTTAACACTACTTTTGGATTATAATTGGATTTGAAGGTTCGTATGAATTTCCTGCTTAATAATTGGATTTGAAGGTTCGTATGAATGTCCTGCTTAATACAATGTTTGTTTCCAATTTGTAAGTCGCTCTGGATAAGAGCGTCTGCTAAATGACGTAAATGTAATGTAAATGTGTCATTGCAAATCAACTGCATTATACTTAAAACACTTCAACCAGTAAAATGGCTCTTTGGCTAGCGTTAGCTACAGCCTATATCAGTGAGCGTTAGCATTCTCGCTAACTGCTGCATCCAAAAGCGGTATTTTGCAAAGACCACAACAAAATGTTATCTTTGCGACTGTTAATTCATGAATCAAAACATCATTGTAAGCATATGAGAACCCCCCCCCCCCCCCCCCCCCAAGAAAAAAAAAAGATGTAATAATATAAATCTAGGCTGTTGAATGGGCGCAGATGGCGATGACTTTCTTACTGCCACCAAGAGTCGCGCCAATCAGTGTGTCAATTACTGGAAAGTGGTCTATAGTTCAGTGTGCTTTGTCATTTTTATCTCACCATTGTATTCTCTGTATGAGTGTTGATGTTTTTGTTGTCTTGTGCATTTACTTTGTCCGTATTATTTCTTATTGTAGGGAAGGAACCAGAAAGTAAGCATTTTGTTGGACGTGTATATCATGTGTATCCTGTACATATGACTAATAAAACTTGAAACTTGTTTAGAGCGAAGAGGGTGATAAAGTTGGTTCCTGAGAACCTTCTGAAGAAGAGGAAGGCCTATCAAGCCATCAAAGCCACTGAGGCAAAGCGTGCACTTCTAGAGAAGAGAAAGGTAATTAGCTGTGGTCAGTTTTACCATTGTGGTCTTTTATTCACTATGAAAGTTTTGATAAAGTTGTTGGACATCAACAAGTGTAGATGTGTTCATCCAGGTATCCAAAGGCAAACCCTTGAAGTTCAAGCGCTTGGAGGACTTCCTGAAGGAGAACCATAGAAAACATCGCGATGAAACGCGTATCAGGAGAGCAGATCACAGACCAGCTCCAGCCATGCCCCCTGCAAAGAACCGACTGGCCTTCGCTGTCCGCATCAGAGAGTGAGTGACTGAAATCTGTAGCTACATGATCTGATTGCAATGGTGGTACACATAAAGCTGTTGACAACCCTTTTTGAGCGAATGTTATGATTTTTATTCAGATCCCCATTAGCTGTTGAAGCAGCAGCTATTCTTCCTGGGGTCCACACAACATAGAACATGACAAAATACAGAACACTAATGGACAAGATCAGCAACACAAATTCAAACTAACAACACGACTACATAAAAAAATAACAAGACTAACAACAAAGAAAAATATACACTATTCTCAAATATTTTAATGCTTTGATATGTAGACACTTTAGGCTATTGCAGCTGAAGAATACAGCTAAAGAGTTTGTGTTCACATACTTATTGTATACTCACAATGGAGTGGAAGTGGCTGTGCACAGTCAAAATCATCTGGAATTACACTTTCATCAGCTCATCTTTAGTGGTCTGGCTGAATATTGAGGTAACATTTTCATATTTTCTCTCTGTGCAGGATCAAAGGAGTCAGTCCCAGAGTTCAGAAGGTGATCCAGATGTTACGACTAAGAAAGATCTTCAGCGGTGCCTTTGTCAAAGTGAACAAGACCTCTATGGCTATGTTGAAAATGGTTGAGCCTTATGTGGCATGGGGGTAAGTAAGAGGTGAGGGTCTGACTTTTGTGAGAATGAATAGCATATCAACTTCATGTAATGAGATTAATCCACTTTGACGTATCCGCTATCATTTCTTATAACCAACAATAACTTTTGAACATCAGATCGGCAGTTACTTACCTCAATTCCGCCTTCAACTTCGACTCACCTGTTCAGTCACTTGATAATAAGATTGATGACCTCCGATTGCGGATTTGCTTCCAACGGGACTCTCGTAACTGCAATTTTCTCTGCAACATGGCTTTTGGACAAGATACAATGTTCCCTCTAATATTTTTTAGCACTGAGCAAATTTCAGGTCTGCTGAGCGCAAACTTGAACCTTGTGAGATTTCTGTGTAACTTCCGGCGCACGTTTACTGTGAACACTGAGGCTGTACCCACTTTAATATACAGTTTTAAGTGGCCAAGGAGTGTGGGCCACCTTGAAATAAATAATTTAAAAAATGGAGAAAATGTATCTCAACATGGAAATAGCGGTTATATCATTCAGCCTACAGTAGCAGCCAATGTGTGGTGTTAAATGTAGGCCTACGTTCCATGAGACTTTTGAAAAAAAACATGCAGGGCTTGACATTAACCTGTTTATCCACTTGTCCTTCAGATAAGGTGACTAAACATTTTGTTGTGGTGTTTGATGCAAGAAACCACTTAACAAAATACAATTAATTATTCCCATGCCATTATTACAGAGAATCAGACAAATTATGCTACCCTCTCCTTATTGGCGACTTAGCTTATTTAAGCCTGTCTCAAAATACAACACTGCCCCTTTTAAGACATTAAAAAAAAAAAATCTACCTGACTTGCTTTTCAAAGATGGCTAGAAATGTACATGTTTTGTGCTCTTGTAGGAAGCAATCACTCCCACATTGCTGACTACAAATGAGCTATAACTGGGCTAATAACTCACTAACTAGCTAAGAATATGAACAAAAGTGCACATGTGGCAACATGCAGCTCTCGCTTTGATCTCAAAACAAGCACATAATAATCGCAACAGCTCCTGCTGTAAAACGTGAATGGCACAAATCCATATGGCAATGGTCTATTTGCATATAGGCTTACTGCAGCTCTGATTGGTTATGGCGCACTGGTCTGTGTAGGGTACGGTCTGAGTCGCAATAGAATCCTACTCCGATGCGCTCTGCCTACAACAATCTCTTGCATAGTTTGTTTTTGTTTGGGTATGTTGCATTGAATTGGTCTATTGCGTTAATTCGATCACAATTCCCACAGTAAAGGGAAATGTTAATAGTGTTAACTAACATGGGAAAACTAGAAAGTTGAGTGAAGTTCAATCTCGTGCTTCTCTGCACGGGCTGATATTTATTCTAGCCGGCAGTCCCGGGGAGCTTAGAGGGAACATTGCCCCCATGGCTATCCATTCACTAAGCGGACAGGACAGTAGAGTCAAGGAAATCGAGAGTAGGAAGGTTTTGCCTCTTCATCAACAACAAATGGTCTGTTGACTCGAGCACAGTGGAAGTCTCGACCCATTGTTCACCCGTCTTGGAATACCTGATGATCAAATGCTGACCCTTCTACCTGCCGAGGAAGTTTTCAGCTGTTATCGTGACTGTTTGTATACATTCCACCTCAGAACAAGAAAAATGACAAGCTATAAACAAGCAGGAAAACTTGCACCCGGAGGTTGCCTTTCTTGTTGCCGGCGATTTTAATTCTGCGTCATTAAGACACGTGATGCCCAACTGCCATCAACATGTCTCCTTTGCCACTAGGGGCGATAAAGTCCTAGACCACTGTTACTCTACCCACAAGCAGGCATACAACGCCCTTTCTCATCCCCATTCTGCAAATCGGATCATGTTTAGCAGAAGCTCCAACAGGAAGTACCTGTGACTCGCTCCGTTGAGAAACGGTAATCGGAATCAGAGATTATGCTACAGGACTGCTTTGCTAGCGCTGAATGGAATATGTTCCGTGACTCGATGAGCTAACCACCTCAGTCACCGGCTTCATTAGGAAATGCATCGGCGATGTCCCCACAGTGAAGGTTCACTGCTTCCCCAATCAAAAGCCCTGGACTAACGCTGAGGTTGGCGCTAAAATAAAGGGCAGGGCTACCGCACACAGGGCAGCCAACCTTGAGGCAACGGCTGAGGACTGGAACAAGTACAAGAAGTCCCGCTACGACCTCCGCAGAGTCATCAAACGAGCAAAAGGACAATATAGGAATAAGGTGGATATTATTCCAGGCTCCGAGGCATGTGGCAGAGGCTACAGTCCATTACAGATTACAAAGGAAGAACCAGCTGTGGTCTGCCCAACGATATAGCTCTACCAGAAGAACTCTACAATAACAACACTGTGCCGTGAGGGCCTCCACCGACCCAGAGGACTGGTCGAGCTCGCTCTCCGAGGCCAACGTGAGTAAGGTCTTTTAATCAGGTCAACACTCGCGGGGCCGGACAGTATTCCAAGATGCATGCGCAGAACAGCTGGCAGGCATATTCACTGTCATTTTCAACCTCTCCTTGTCCCAGTCTGTAATCCCCACATGCCTTAAACTGACCACCATCCATCATTCCTGTTCCTAATAACTCTAAGTCTTCATGCCACAATGACTACCACCCTGTAGTGCTCTCATCTGCAATCATGAAGTGCTTTGAAAGGCTGGTTATGGCACACCCACCCCATCATTCCAGACACCCTGTACCCACTCCAATTTGCATATCGCCCCAACAGATCCATAGACGACGCAATCTCAATTGTTCTCCACACTGCCCTCACCTACCTAGATAAGAGCAATACTTATGTGAAAATGCTGTTCATTGACTACAGCTCAGCGTTCAACACCATTGTCCCCTCCAAGTTCGTCACCATCTTAGGACCCAGTGACTGAACACCTGCAACTGGATCCTGGAATTCCTGACGGGCCGACCCCAGGTGGCGAGGGTAGGCAACATGCCCTCCGCCATGCTAACCCTTAACAAGGGGGCCCCACACGGGTGTGTGCTTAGTCCCCTCCTGTACGCCCTGTTCACCCATGACTGCGTGGCCATGCACAATTCCAACACCATCATCAAGTTTGCTGACGACACGATGCTGGTAGGCTTGATCACCGGCGACAATGAGACAGCCTACAGGGAGATGGTCAATGACCTGGCAGTGTGGTGTAAAACTAAAGATACCTTCATAGAAAATAACTAAAGTAAAAGTCACCCAGTAAAATTCTACTTGAGTAAAAGTAGAAAAGTATTTGGTTTAAAATATACTTAAGTATCAAAAATATAAATAATTTCAAATTCCTTATAGTAAGCAAACCATTTTTTTTTTTTTTTTTATTTACAGATAGCCAGGGGCACACCAACATTCAGACATAATTTACAAACAAAGCATGTGTGTTTAGTGAGTCCACCAGATCAGAGGCAGTAGGAATGACCAGGGATGTTCTGTTGGCAAGTGCGTGAATTGGACCATTTTCCTGTCCTGCTAAGCATTCAAAATGAGGTTTTCACTCAATCTCACAATACATGGCCCCATTAATAATTTCCTTTACACGGATCAGTCGTCCTGGTCCCTTTGCAGAAAAACAGCCCCAAAGCATGATGTTTCCACCCCCATGCTTCACAGTAGGTATGGTGTTCTTTGGATGCAACTCAGCATTCTTTGTCCTCCAAACACGACGAGTTGAGTTTTTACCAAAAAGTTATATTTTGGTTTGATCTGACCATATGACATTCTCCCAATCCTCTTCTGGATCATCCAAATGCACTCTAGCAAACTTCAGACGGGCCTGGACATGTACTGGCTTAAGCAGGGGGACACGTCTGGCACTGCAGGATTTGAGTCCCTGGCGGCGTAGTGTGTTACTGATGGTAGGCTTTGTTACTTTGGTCCCAGCTCTCTGCAGGTCATTCACTAGGTCCCCCCGTGTGGTTCTGGGATTTTTGCTCACCTTTCTTGTGATCATTTTGACCCCACGGGGTGAGATGTTGCGTGGAGCCCCAGATCGAGGGAGATTGTCTTGTATGTCTTCCATTTCCTAATAATTGCTCCCACCGTTGATTTCTTCAAACCAAGCTGCTTACCTATTGCAGATTCAGTCTTCCCAGCCTGGTGCAGGTCTACAATTTTGTTTCTGGTGTCCTTTGACAGCTCTTTGGTCTTGGCCATAGTGGAGTTTGGAGTGTGACTGTTTGAGGTTGTGGACAGGTGTCTTTTATACTGATAACAAGTTCAAACAGGTGCCATTAATACAGGTAACAAGTGGAGGACAGAGGAGCCTCTTAAAGAAGAAGTTACAGGTCTGTGAGAGCCAGAAATCTTGCTTGTTTGTAGGTGACCAAATACTTATTTTCCATCACAATTTGCAAATAAATTCATTAAAAATCCTACAATGTGATTTTCTGGATTTTTTTCTTCTCAATTTGTCTGTCATAGTTGACGTGTACCTATGATGAAAATTACAGGCCTCTCTCATCTTTTTAAGTGGGAGAACTTGCACAATTGGTGGCTGACTAAATACATTTTTCCCCCACTGTAAGTACTTTACACCACAATAACTTCAAGTTCCTCTATGTCCAAATCAATAAGGTCTGAAAATGGTCCGCGCACAGTCGAAGAAGCCGCAACAGCGGTGTGAAAGGAAGGCCCAGAAAATTGTTAGACTCCAGTCACCAAAGCCAAAGGTGTTCGATGGGGTCGAGGTCAGGGCTCTGTGCAGGCCAGTCAAGTTCTTCCACACAGATCTCTACAAACCATTTCGGTATGGACCTCGCTTTGTGCACGGGGGCATTGTCATGCTGAAACAGGAAAGGGCCTTCCCCAAACTGTTGCCACAAAGTTGGAAGCACAGAATTGTGAAGAATGTCATTGTATGCTGTAGCGTTAAGATTTCCCTTCACTGTAACTAAGGGGCCTAGTCCGAACCATGAAAAACAGCCCCAGACCACTATTCCTCCTCCATCAAACTTTACAGTTGGCACTGCATTAGGGCAGGTAGCGTTCGCTTGGCATCCGCCAAACCCAGATTCATCTGTCAGACTGCTAGATGGTGAAGCGTGATTCGTCACTCCAGAGAATGCGTTTCCACTGCTCCAGAGTCCAGTGGCGGTGAGCTTTACACCACTCCAGCTGACGCTTGGCATTGTGCATGGTGAACTTCGGCTTGTGTACGGCTGCTTGGCCATGGAAACCCATTTCATGAAGCTCCCGACGAACAGTTCTTGTGATAACGTTGCTTCCAGCGGCCACTTGGTAGTGAGTGTTGCAACCGAGGACAGACTATTTGCGGCTGAGCCGTTGTTGCTCCTAGACGTTTCCACTTCACAATAACATTACTTACAGTTGACTGGGGCAGCTCTAGAAGGGCAAACTTGTTGGAAAGGTGGCATTCTATGACAGAGACACGTTGAATGTTACCCAGCTCTTCAGTAATGACATTCTTCTGCCAATGTTAGTGTATGAATATTGCATGGCTGTATGCTCGATTTTATACACATGTCCGCAATGTGGGTGGCTGAAATAGCCGATTCCACTAATTTGAAGGAGTGTCCACATACTTGTGTATATAGTGCATTTTATTTTTGCGCTGTCTATGCACACTCACAGGACCCTACACACTCAGGCACACTTCATTTACTGACACACATAACATGCATACACAATTATACTGACTCTACGCGCGCACACACTCACATACAATCATCATATACGCTGCTGCTACTGCCTCTCATATCCTGATGCCAAGTCACCTTACCCCTATACATATCTATCACTCCAGTATCCCTGCACATTATAAATATGGTATTGGAACTGACCCTGTGTGTGGCTTACTTTCTCATGTTCCAATTTGTATTTCTCGTGTTTTTGTTCTACTTTGTTATTTTTACACTGAACAAAAATATAAACTCAACATGTGAAGTGTTGGTCCCATGTTTCATGAGCTGAAATAAAAGATCCCCGAAATGTTCCATACGCACAAAAAGCTTATTTCCCTCAAATCTACACATTTATTTGCATCCCTGTTATGGAGCATTTTACATGACAGGTGTGGCATATCAAGAAGCTGATTAAACCACACGATCATTACACAGGTGCACCTTGTGCTGGGGACAAAAGGCCACTGTAAAATGTGCAGTTTTGTTACACAACACAATGCCACAGATGTCTCAAGTTTTGAGGGAGCATGCAATTGGCATGCTGACTGCAGGAATGTCCACCAGAGCTGTTGCCAGAGAATTGAATGTTCATTTCTCTACCATAAGTCGCCTCCAACATCGTTTTGGAGAATTTGGCAGTATGTCGAACCGGCCTCACAACTGTAGACCACGTGTATGGCGTCGTGTGGGCGAGCGGTTTGCTGATGTGGTGGTGGGATTATGGTATGGGCTGGCATAAGCTACGGACACCGAACACAATTGCATTTTATCGATGGCAATTTGAACGCAGAGATACCGTGACGAGATCCTGAGGCCCATTGTTGTGCCATTCATCCGCCGCCATCACCTTATGTTTCAGCATAATGCACAGCCCCATGTCACAAGGATCTTTACACAATTCCTGGAAGCTGAAAATGTTCAAGTTCTTCCATGGCCTGCATACTCACCAGATATCACCCATTGAGCATGTTTGGGATGCTCTGGATTGACGTACGACAGCGTGTTTCTGTTCCCGCCAATATCCAGAGACTTCGCACAGCCATTGAAGAGAAGTGGGTCAACATTCCACAGGCCACAATCAATAGCCTGATCAACTCTGAGAAGATGTGTCTCGCTGCATGAGGCAAATGGTGGTCACACCAGATACTGACTGGTTTTCTGATCCACGCCCCTCCTTATTTTTTTATGGATCTGTGACCAATCTATTCCCAGTCATATGAAATCCATAGATTAGGGCCTAATTAATTAATTTCAATTGATTGATTTCCTTATAAACTTTAACTCGGTCAAATCTTTGCAGTTGTTGCGTTATGTTTTTGTTCAGTGTAATACTGCATTGTTGGGTTTAGAGCTTGCAAGAAAGACATTTCACTGTACTTGTGCACGTAACATTAACTTAACTTGATACCTGTAGAACCAACTAGTTGGACAATATTGTACTAACGATGGTGAATTATTCACACTAAACAGGTTTCCCAACTTGAAGTCTGTTCGTGAGCTGATCTTGAAAAGAGGACAGGCAAAGATTGACAAGCGAAGGGTCGCTCTCACAGACAACACACTCATTGAGCAGCATATGGGTAAGGATCACAATTTATAATGTATTTTTCATCAGTCTGAAGTAACACAAGTCTTGGTAAATTTTGTATGTGCATGTCAAATTTAGCTAAAAAATATAAGTTGCGTCACACTCAGATCATGCAGAGAATATGAAATGGTGGTTTTCCCACAGTGATTTTCATTGAGATACATGTACAATGTTTACATCATCTCCTCTCAGGCAAGTATGGTATCATCTGTCTAGAGGACCTGATCCATGAGATCTACTCTGTGGGGAAGAACTTCCGTGTGGTCAGCAACTTCATATGGCCGTTCAAGCTGTCTGTGGCTCGTCACGCTGCCAGGGACAAGGCAGGTCTTTTGAAGGACATCGGCAACCCAGGACCCAGAGGGACGGACATTAACTCAATCATCAGGCAGCTCAACTGAGGCTGCATGACAGACACTTTCACAGACTCTTTCCTAGAGCCAGTGATTAACCTTTTTTTCCATAGCTTATTCATTGGTGGTTCTGTAATTCATTTTCTTCATGTCTGCAAGATTATGAGTTGCCCAGTGTGGCATGAGATAAATAAGTCCCTTACAGATTCATAAGGATTCAATTAATCTTTGTCTTACCATCCCTGGGACCCAGCTGGCAGAATTAATACTGGACCTGATCAGAATTTAAGACATGGACAGACTGCGCCTTTCTGAACTACGTTGTGATTAGATAGTAGTTATTGTCTCGCCCTTTTGTTGGACAATTGGTAATCTCATGTTACCACCTCTGCAGCGTTTCCATATTAAGGCCATTCTATGGAGATTCTAATGGCATTATCACTACTTACTTTGCCCCTCTGGTTGTCGAAGGGATGTAATTATGCATACTATCTATGTGAGATTAATGTGTTTATTTTTCAATAAACTGAAAGAAGAATTTGTTTTGTACTTGGGTGCAGAAAATGATGGCCCTTTTTTTTTTTTTTTTTGTCTCAATTCCTGCTATTTCTTCCTCAAAGGTTCTCCTGCCACTGGCTGCTCAGTGTGTCACAATCAATTTAGGGAGATGTGACTCATCAAGCAGGGAGGGGGGGAAGAGACCTGGGAAAATGCATCCCAGGGTGCTGCAATGGAGGGACGGGACACGACACAAGCTATTTGTGCCAGCAACGTTTTTGGGTACATGAATGGTTATGAGAATGTAAGACAATTACATGTTATGCATATTAAGGGACTTAAAAGGGTGTACAACTATGTCTAGCTGGTCTGCATCATATCAGGGTGGTCTGGTCCAACATTTGCATATCAAAGAAGGGATGGGGAAATCAATCGCATTGCCTTGCCTTTGAGAAAATATTGCACAATTTACATTTAGCAGACGCTCTTACCAGAGCGACTTACAAATTGACACCACACTGAAGATGTAGATGAAGCCCTATCCATCCACAACAAGCTGTCTGTCGATGTAGATCAAACACGCCTTTCTGACATGTATACTGAACCAATTTAAATGCAGCATGCAACAATTTCAAAGGTTACTGAGTTACAGTTCAAATAAGGAAATCAGTCAATTGAAATAACTTAATTAGGCCCTAATCTATGGATTTCACATGACTGGGAATACAGATAAGCATCTGTAGGTCACGGATACCTTTAAAAAAAAAAAAAAAAGTAGGCGTGGATCAGAAAACCAGTCAGTATCTGGTGTGCCCATCATTTGCCTCATGCAGCGAGACATCTCCTTCGCATAGAGTTGATCAGGCTGTTGATTGTGGCCTGTGGAATATTATCCCAATTCTCTTCAATGACTGTGCAAAGTCGCTGTCATACATCGATCCAGAGCATCCCAAACATGTTCAATGGGTGACATCTGGTGAGAATGCAGGCCATGGAAGAACTTGGACATTTTCAGCTTCCAGGAATTGTGTAAAGATCATTGCGACATGGGGCTGTGCATTATGCTGAAACATAAGGTGATGGCGGCGGATGAATGGCACAACAATGGGCCTCAGGATCTCGTCACGGTATCTCTGCGTTCAAATTGCCATCAATAAAATGCAATTGTGTTCGGTGTCGGTAGTTTATGCCAGCCCATACCATAATCCCACCACCACATCAGCAAACCGCTCGCCCACACGACACCATACACGTGGTCTACAGTTGTGAGGCCGGTTCGACGTACTGCCAAATTCTCTAAAACGATGTTGGAGGCGACTTATGGTAGAGAAATGAACATTCAATTCTCTGGCAACCGCTCTGGTGGACATTCCTGCAGTCAGCATGCCAATTGCATGCTCCCTCAAAACTTGAGACATCTGTGGCATTGTGTTGTGACAAAACTGCACATTTTAGAGTGGCTTTTTGTTGTCCCCAGCACAAGGTGCACCTGTGTAATGATCATGTGGTTTAATCAGCTTATTGATATGCCACACCTGTCAGGTGGATGGATTATCTTGGCAAAGGAGAAATGCTCACATACCGGGATGTAAACAAAATTGTGCACAACATTTTAGAGAAATAAGCTTATACAGTGAGGGAAAAAAGTATTTGATCCCCTGCTGATTTTGTACGTTTGCCCGCTGACAAAGAAATGATCAGTCTATAATTTTAATGGTAGGTTTATTTGAACAGTGAGGGACAGAATATAACAAAAAAATCCAGAAAAACGCATGTCAAAAATGTTATAAATTGATTTGCATTTTAATGAGGGAAATAAGTATTTGACCCCTCTGCAAAACATGATTTAGTACTTGGTGGCAAAACCCTTGTTGGCAATCACAGAGGTCAGACGTTTCTTGTAGTTGGCCACCAGGTTTTCACACATCTCAGGAGGGATTTTGTCCCACTCTTTGCAGATCTTCTCCAAGTCATTAAGGTTTTGAGGCTGACGTTTGGCAACTCGAACCTTCAGCTTCCTCCACAGATTTTCTATGGGATTAAGGTCTGGAGACTGGCTAGGCCACTCCAGGACCTTAATGTGCTTCTTCTTGAGCCACTCCTTTGTTGCCTTGGCCGTGTGTTTTTGGGTCATTGTCATGCTGGAATACCCATCCACGACCCATTTTCAATGCCCTGACTGAGGGAAGGAGGTTCTCACCCAAGATTTGACGCTACATTGCCCCGTCCATCGTCCCTTTGATGCGGTGAAGTTGTCCTGTCCCCTTAGCAGAAAAACACCCCCAAAGCATAATGTTTCCACCTCCATGTTTGACGGTGGGGATGGTGTTCTTGGTCATAGGCAGCATTCCTCCTCCTCCAAACACGGCGAGTTGAGTTGATGCCAAAGAGCTCCATTTTGGTCTCATCTGACCACACCACTTTCACCCAGTTCTCCTCTGAATCATTCAGATGTTCATTGGCAAACTTCAGACGGGCCTGTATATGTGCTTTCTTGAGCAGGGGGACCTTGCGGGCGCTGCAGGATTTCAGTCCTTCACGGCGTAGTGTGTTACCAATTGTTTTCTTCGTGACTAAGGTCCAAGCTGCCTTGAGATCATTCACAAGATCCTCCCGTGTAGTTCTGGGCTGATTCCTCACCGTTCTCATGATCATTGCAACTCCACGAGGTAAGATCTTGCATGAAGCCCCAGGCCGAGGGAGATTGACAGGCCTTTTGTTTCTTCCAATTGCGAATAATCACACCAACTGTTGTCACCTTCTCACCAAGCTGCTTGGTGATGGTCTTGTAATCCATTCCAGCCTTGTGTAGGTCTACAATCTTGTCCCTGACATCCTTGGAGAGCTCTTTGGTCTTGGCCTTGGTGGAGAGTTTGGAATCTGATTGATTGATTGCTTCTGTGGACAGGTGTCTTTTATACAGGTAACAAACTGAGATTAGGAGCACTCCCTTTAAGAGTGTGCTCCTAATCTCAGCTCGTTACCTGTATAAAAGACACCTTGGAGCCAGAAATCTTTCTGATTGAGAGGGGGTCAAATACTTATTTCCCTCATTAAAATGCAAATCAATTCATGACATTTTTGAAATGCGTTTTTCTGGATTTTTTTGTTGTTATTCTGTCTCTCACTGTTCATATAAACCTACCCTTAAAATGATAGACTGATCATTTCTTTGTCAGCGGGCAAACGTACAAAATCAGCAGGGGATCAAATACTTTTTTCCCTCACTGTATGGTAAATTTCTGGAATATTTTATTTCAGCTCATGAAACAGGTAAATTCATTTATACACAGTGCTTAATTTGGGCCGGATCCTTCCACCTCTCCATTTTGGACTGTTTTGTTCCGGAACCTATTTGGCCGTATCTGGTACCTCTTGGCATGAAAAATAATTTTCACTTTTTGAAAAAATTCTAGTTGCCTCTTCGTTAATTCTCCTGCACCCACAAAAAAAACGTTACGTGGAAAAAATAGATTTTCAGCAACAGCCTAATATTCTAAGAGTTGATTTGGGTTGGGCCTGCCCGGATTTATGGTTTGCACAACATTGTAACCTATGTTTGAGACCAACGCGTGGCCGTGTGAGATGCGCGCCTGTATCTCTCACATAACTAGAATGAAATTCACTTTGTATGATCTCCCTCCCTCTCTGCTCTGATAGACATGAGCCTGCAACTCTCATCTCTCCAGCGTTGCACTTCATCATTTATTTCCTTAGAGAACCATAGCCACGCGAAGGGTTCTAAAGGAACAGCAGCACCCCTGATAAATTGAAATACATTTGCCAAAGTTATAGAATTACTGCTGTCTGTTCAGAAATAAATGAAATAATTCAGAATAGCCTACCACACCACGAGAAGGCCTATAATTTTGCCAGAGGATCAATCGTTTTTTTTTTAATCTCTGGATTGTATCCCAATAACAAGGAATAGCCTACAGTCGGGAATGCACAGAAAATCTGTCAGTGAAAAAACAGAACGCAGACAAAACAAACCTTTAGCAATAATTCAAATACAATCGCGGGAGAACAGATGTCTCTTGCTGAAAAGACTATGCTGTAGGCTACCAAAATATTTGATTAACTTCAACTTATTATAAAGGTGATTTTTTTTCTTCTTCATGCATTACGGTATCTCAGACAGAACTCCCCAGGTGACCCCCACTCTCGCGCTCACTTTTTGTTCCGGCACTTCCTGATTATAAATTAAGCACTGTGTATACATGTCCTGTATGATCCATTAATTTTAAGGTCACGATGAAATTGGTGGTAAACATTCTGTTCGTGATAAACAGGAGGACCTCCAAATAAGGGTTTTCTGCTATTACTCGAGATGATGGACATTGTTTGCACGGAAGATTTATTAGAAGTAATAGCACGTTAGTAATGTGTGAAGCTCTCAAGGAGAATGGGCGGTTCGTATCGCTTGTTCCGCCTCCATAGCTTGCCGAATGAATGGAGACACGCATCTGATCACGGTGAGATGTGTATTTACTCCTTACAACTAAATCAACAAAGTAGCCCGATATGTGTACTTGACATTTAACAAGCCATCGTGATGACACAGTCTTGAATGCTTACATCAGCACATTGGTTCAAACCTCACGCGGTAGCTATGCTAATAAACCGAAGCACGAGTTGAAAGTTCGCTTCAGTGGAAGGAGGTCCACGTGGACGTAACTAATTAATTATATAGTTTAACATTTTAGTTGGCTAACTAGGGACTTAGTTTGGGAAATACGTTATTTTGATGTCCACGGTAGTTCTTTTATTGATTGAAATAGAGCTAGCTTGTTAGTGTAGCAAGCGATTGTTACACATTTAGCCAGCGCGTACTATGTAGAAATCGCTGATGACCGTGTGTCATTTATCGAAACATTGTTGAACCCAGCGTGTCGGTTATTAGCGTTTAACTTGAAAAACTGGTAACATTGTATTTATTTGTATTTGCAACTTTTGCATGTCGGTGTTGTTTTATGTGTCAAGTTCTTCTGGCCAGGTTGCAACGTTCCATATTCCGAGACGACGTTTTGAGATTGACCTGTCAAACAACAAGTGCCATCAACCCGATC